CGTAACTTTTAGTGTATATCGTAACCGAATAATGAGTTACTGTTCCATCGATCATGAACTCTGGTCCCATATTTTTGGCCAGTGGTGGTGAGTCTGTAAACATTATTAATGATATTAATAGTTCGTGATCGTTTTTTTTTTCTAACGCGGAAACGACCCAGCATGGCTCAGCCTGCACACACACACACACATACATACACACATATACACGCACTCGCGTGTACTGTAACGTCTCTCGTTTTCCGAGTAGGTATTTACAATTAACAATCGTTCTCTCCCGTAGTAACCGTAGTCGTAAAGCGATTAGTAGTTAATTATTATTAGTAGTAGTAGTAGTCGGCGGTGGTTGCGTTCCTCCGCGTTCCCCAGTAACTGTTCGTGTACGTTAATAGTAGTGAAATAGGCGGGTGTGTAAATACATAGTAACAGGCTGTACGCGGTAGTGTCCCTTTCATCTCGCCTTTACAATTAATAGTTAAGAGTAGCGGTAATAAGTAGTAGTTGAGTTTAAAGATTTTTTTTTTCTCTTTATAATAGCGCTGGTAGTAATTAGTAATAGTTTAGTAGTAGTAGTGGTAAAGTGGTGGTGGTGGTGGTGGTGATGGTATAGTGGTTTCGTCTTTTCCTTTGCACATTTAATGGCGGTGCTGACGGTAATGGCAGCGGCGGTGGTGGTGGTGGTGGCGGCGGTAATTGCGGTAGTAGTTAATAATAGTAGTAGTCTCCTCGTAGTATTAACAATAGTTTCAGCGGTATTAATCGTCGCGCGCCTCGTATTAGCGTTAATAGCGGTACAAGCATGTTGTATTTTTTTTTTTTTTTTTTAATAGGAATAAGAGCATCGTATCGCCGCGTCGTCAAATCCTTATTGACAATTCGTTATTGCTATTACCGATATTGCTACACTCGATCTCTTTGTACTATCACTACGAACCGGTTGACAGGGTGCCACCCTTTCCCCTCCCCCATTATTGTTCACCCTTGGTAAAACGATTTTGGCAGATTTTCGTAACGTAGACCGATCCATGATGGCCGTCCATCATGAACGTCCGACATATTTGTTACAGTTTTTATCCTCGGATTATTATCACATTTTGCACTAGATATAATTGCTATATATATATATATATATATATATATACATAAGTCATTCGCGAGTGATTTAAATATAAACATCCAACTGGGCTTTCGAAATTTTTTACAGTGGTCAAAAATAGATAAGAAAGTTATTGGTACCACCGAGTTCTAGAATCGAATTATTTACCAACAGAAAATACACCATCCAGGGGTTAATTCGATAGACCATTAGTGGTTAAACAAATAGTAGATTAAAAGCAGACAGAAGCATTCTCGTCATCGAAATCACGGGAAATAAACGATCGAAAAGCAGACATTCGGATATCGAACGAATTCTGATTGCGGTGACTTTTTGATTTCACGGGATCAGCGGCAACGAAACGGGAATCGTCTCGCGGTAGTTATCTCGGATCCTCGAGAGTTTCTCTTCGATTTGGTTCTCGATAATGGGGGGCAAGAGGTCGGGCGCACCCTTTCAACCTCACTCGAAGAGGGAAAAAAAAAACAGGGATGTCACTTTACAAACCCAAGAAGTAATCGTCTCGGGACTATCTCTGGTCGAGATCTAGCGAGTACATTAAGCGCATATTTTTTTTTTTTAATTGGGGCTTCCTCGAGTATACACCGGTGTGTACGAAAATGATTCGCGCGTTTTTACGGACTGGAGTTCCTCCCTCGAAGAGGCAAAACGAAAAAGTGTCTTCTGTACATCGATCGAAATTACCAGCCATTTCACAGCGAAGTATTTCCAGCATCGTGTTTCTTTATCGCGATTTATCGTTTTCTTCCGATAAATTTCTCGCGTCGACAAGCACGAGAATCATTTTCGTACAACCTGTGGCTATCCTAGGAGTTATTACAAACTGGACAGGTCGCCCCCCCCCCCTTGTGCTTGCTTTCAACTCTTCGGCTGCCTAACGCACGTGCTCCCTTCGAATCCCATCAATTTCGAAAAATACAATACAATCGCAAACGGGCAGTCGATTATTTATTTCCAAGGTCGACGCGCTTATCTGTTTGGTCGATGGAGATTTTTTTCTTGGTCTGAGAGTTCTATATATACAGGGTGTTTCGTTTAAATCGATTCCCTCGAATAGCTCTGAATTTTTGATACTTGAAAGTGTTTAAAACAAAAGTTGAATGGTAGCGAGGTGAACGTAATTTGATGTCAATAGTTTTTTGTATGTGCAGACGTAGAGGACATATGAAGGTTAACTATATTTTTGTATATGAAACCATATATTTTTTAATGCATTGATCTGATTGAATTTTTAAGCTATTTATACCGCAAAACCGTTAGTTTGGGAGATACTTTTATTACAAGAGAGTACTCAATTCCAATGTAGCTATTATCCACGGAATTTAACGGTCTGTACTTCGTAGATTGTAACAGAAGTTAAAATATCTCCCAAACTAACGATTTTTCGGTCTAAATAGGTTAATAATTTCTTATAGGAAATAACGAGCTGTATCGATCAATGCAATTAAAAAGTATATGATTCCATGTAAAAAAGTAAAGTTGACCTATATATGTCCTCTACAAACCCATAAAAAAACGATTCACGTCAAATGATGTCCTCCTCGACAATTCAACTTTTGTTCGAAACACTTTCCAGTATCACAAATAATTTCAGAGTTATTCTAGTTAAGTTTCCTAGTTATATAGTGTTCTCAGGTAAATTTCTTATTTCTCGGGCAGCGGAAGAGTTCGTATTACCCAAAATTCGTTCCCCATTCAACGAGTCTCGACGGAAAGCACTTTGGACAATAGTTTTTTCGGACCTTCGTTGTCGTGTTCGATGCTGCGTATTATCTCCTCGTCGCACTAACATCCTAATCATTAATAGAACTATATAAGATAATCTCTCACTGTCTCGTGTATCCACGCGCGTCCCGTCATCGCCACTCTCTCGTGTCTCCGTTGCCGTTCCTCTCGACGTGTTACGTCTTCCTCATTCTTTACCGATAATCGTTCGATACAACGTGCATGTATCCTCCCCTCCCACCCCCCGTTAATTAATTAACCGCATAATTTACCAAGTAATCAATATTAAATATTCACTTTGTTTCTAACTAGCAGCCTCTGGGTAAGACTAGTTTCCCGCGGTTAGTCTCTCTCGGTGATCCGTTCTCGTTTCATCTCGGTTTCGCCGCTAACTGTTCTAGCACACTAGGCCTCTGAGCATTTCAGGCGATCGCATAAACGATGCAGTTTTCATCGTCTTATAAAGTTATCAGGTTATACATATATATATAATCCGTGGACGACCGGTTGGACTCGCGTGCGTACGATACAGTGGACTCTAAATATATTGCCATGGTCGGGCCAGTAGGGGAGTAAAATGGCAATGAGTTCAGAGCCCCCTTCATGCTAAGTTCTATCGTAATAGTCTTGGCCTCAGCGACTGCGAATTTCTGTGCTCGAAAGTACGCGTGAAGGGGAAGTGCCTCGCGTGGCAATATGTTTAGTGGCAATATATTTAGAGTCCACTGTATCTAGCCTATTCTCGTTTTTCCATCGAGCCGTCGATCGGTTCCCGTCGGCCAATCCATCCAATGTTTAACTCTTCGTTTTGTTTTTCGGTGTTGGCTTCCATTTCTTTTGTTAATCGTTCATTTCGTAAAAACTGTTCTTGTTTGGTTTCTTGTTTTTCTCGTCTTTTCTCCGGTCTCGAAACTACGCCCGCCTATTTTTGTTTTCCTGTCGCGTCTAAACAAGCGTGTGTCGTTCCTTCATAAATATTATAAAAAAATATAATAGAAAATTATAATTTCGTTATAATATTTATAAGCTACTCGAGAAAAATTGGCACTAGAAATGTTTATCCTCTTCTTTCGTTTTCACGTCGCCGTTGTTCCGTGGTTCACCTCGGGGACAAAATCCCGTTCCGCGAATTGTCGCGGACTAATACACTAAGGTCCTCTAAAATTTTACAAAATACCGCGCTCACGGACACCTGGATGCAACGTACGGGGCCCCGTGTGTATGTACAAAAACGCTTTTTTTATTTTTCTCTCTTTGTTTTTTTTTTTTTTCGTTGCTTCCCCTCCCCCCTCCCCTCGTTTAGGAAGAGGGCTTCGAAGCAGGAAGAATAGGACAACACGTTATTCAAAATCACGAGGAACGTTCGACTCTCTTTTCATCTGAGTTCTCTCTCGTTCGACGATTACATTTTGCCTGGTTTTCTTTTTCCAGTTTCTCGTTCGTTGATTCGTTTATCAACGGTGGTCGATGGGAACGATCGACGACGAATCGGCGACGTGTCGAACAGGAGACGAAATGACGGAGGTCCTTACTCGTGTCCTTTCGAGGACACTCAGGAGAAAGAAAGAGAGAGACAGAGTTACACGAATCGTACGCTGAGAGAAAGAGAGAGAGAGAGGAGGATAACGCTTCCGGTCGCGGAGTCTTTCGTACCGACGCTTCGACGAGCGGAGTTAATAATTGACCGAAATGTTTAACCCTCTGAGGTCCTACGTTACACTTCGAACAGTTCAATTAAGCGTATAGGATCGACGAGATAATGTACAATTAATTACAACATGTACCATAGTCGCTAGGCGAGCCGTAGATTAGAATTCGAGGTTAACCTTAATTAACTGCCGATCAGAAGGCTTTCTATCGACACACTCGAACCTGGATTTACATTCAAATATTGTCGAGGGTTAAACTGGTTCTGTTCAAGGTTGAAAATTTGCAAAATCTCATATCATGATCTAAAAACGACCCTCTCTCTCTCTCTGTCTATCGAGATGAAGAAACCTAACCTAAAATTTGAAGATCCAGATTATTGTCGATCGATCTTTTCTCTCGGTAGTCAAAAGTATTGTTCACACATAAATTAACATTCTACCGGACCCGATTGATTCCTCCTAGTAGGAACAATCAACAGTTGTTGCAATCGAGTCAAACTATACCGCGTGTGTTCTCTCGCGAGCGAATAAATTCCATCGGGGCTTCGCGAGGAGGAAAATCCGTTTCCGAATTCCTCAGAGGGTCAAGGAGAGACATTGTCTGCCTCGAAAGCGAACCAAGAGGCGCGAGAACTGTGACGATCGTAAACAAACGAACGGTTCCCGGTTTCGTCGCGCCACCGGAAACTGCAGCGGCCCAGGCCCCCCCCCCCACATTTTTCCGCCCGCCGGAAATCCCTCGGTCCCTCTCCCTCTTCTCCTCAGCGTGACGCTCCGGGTCTGCGTTTAAACTACGATCAGACTCTCAGGCACTCGATTCTCCGCGGGGGGCTTTGGTCGCGAAGCTGAACACGACACGAGGAATCCTGGCGATTCCCATCCGGCTCCGTGTTGTTGTCGTAGGACGGAGCGGTGAGTAACGATCCCGTGGAACATGCGAGCTTCTCGGCGAGACATTCCGGTCTTAGCCTCCAGTGTCACGGGGGAGACTTCGGTCGGCCGCTTTTGTCTTGCATCACTTGTTGCTGCTGCTGTTGGGGTGGTTGTTGCTGGGACTGTGGTTGTTGCGCTTGTTGGGACTGATGATGGTGGGACGTTGGATCCGTGGCCACCCCTAGATCGCCGCCCATCAGGCTACCGGTCTTGTCCACCACACCGCTCGTGTGCACCGGATGGAAGTATCGTTCTGGAAAATCGCAAGGGGGATCGTTCTATTCCACGGTGTTGTTCTATCAGACACGTTCTTGGAAATTTAGGCTTTTGTTTTTGTTTTCTTTTTTTTTTTTTTTTTCTTTTCTTTAAAAGGGGTTTATAGGTTATGTTTACGGTTCCACATCCGAGCTCGTTCCATAGAGGTTCTCGCGGGTAATCCTCGCGGATTCAGGTAGTATAGGTTCGCAATCGTTGCTGACCTTCGTCCATGGCGGATGGCGGCTCGCTCGCGGTCCCGGTGATTATTGGCGCGATCATGTTGTAGTCGTCCTCGAGATTTATGAACGGCGCTGTGTTCCAACGGGCCGGCACGTTCGTGACCGTGCGCTGCGTCGCCACCGGCCTCGTCACCGAGACCGGGGACGAGAACAGCGAGAGGTTCGTCGGCGACATCACGCCCGACATGGAGCTGATGGTCGGGTAGGTGAATATTTGCTGCGGGGAAAATCGAGAAACTAAATGCGATTAACGATACGGACGGAAGTGGAGCGAACGAACTCGCGTGCAGAGATGGGCAGAATTTTATTCGAACAATACTTAGTGAGAAGCTACAGTATCTAAGATCGTTATCCTGATCTTTAAACAGTTCATGAGATTAAATAATTGTTTGCGTAGTGTCTACTCACTAATATTATTTTATGATAAAAATTGGAATCACCGTGTTCAATCAAGTAAAAATGACGAAATATTTTTATCATCGTTCATTCGTTATTCGAAACTTTTTATCTAGATAAAGAATTTGCCCATCTTTGCTCGCGTGCATACTAGGAACTGAAGCAACTCGAAGTGTATAGGTTTGCTCCCTCTGAAGTATCAAAGTCTCAACCGTGGGTATAGGTATGGTTAAGGGGGGTGCAAAATTTATCTTAAAGTAAATTTCATGATACACAGTAAAGGCTACATGAGAGTTGGATAAGAAGTTCCTCGTGAGAGTTTCTACATCATCCCCACCACTGGGGGGAGGGGAGGCCTTGAGTTCTATTAAAATGTTGGTGCACCGTAAAATTTTTGAAGCGATCCCTAGTTTCAAACTCTCATTGAGCATTTACTGTAATATTACGTTTCTCCTCGGGAGGGGTCCTATTATCTCAAACTTTTCCAAAATCCAATTTCTTCCCCTCTAGGGTACTACAAAGCCCATTCTCCCCTCTAGCTAAGCTCTCATAGCTCTACTACGTTAATGGTCGTCAACGTTCCACCCGAACGTTTCGTGGTGTATCGTTCTCACCTGTCCAGGTTGTGAGTGGAAATGGGCGAACGTGTATTCCCGGCTGGTGTGAGGTGCGGTGACCAGTATTCTCGCAGGACTTTTTCTGCCGGCCGGATCGACGGAGCTCTGGCAACCGGAACCGACCAGACCCACCGCGGCCGCGGCCGCCATTTGCTCCTGGCTGGTCCCCAGCTCACCTGGGTCCGTCGGCGAAGTCGAGGATGTCGGAGGCGAGTTCGAGCTGGCCGCCGTTAGCTCGCCCGTCGACCTTATTATCGCGACCGGCCTGGCCATCGGGGCTGGAGGCGGTGGCGGCAACATCGAGCTCGGATAATACTGTGAGAACTTTTGCATACCAGTGCGGGGTCCGGCTAGCTGCGCCTGGAAATACCACACACCCACCGATCAACGTCGTCGACCCGCGCGTGATCCATTCACCCTGTTTTTCCGGTTACAATTCTTTCTCGCTCTTTTGTTGCGCTTCTAGTGTACGATTTTTCCCCGTGGATTCTTGGACCCCTCGTTTCCTTTTTCCTGTGCGACTTGAGTTTAGGGATGGACGTTCGTGCGTACTGGGTGTCCGGTGTGAAAAGTATTTGAATGGCGAGAAAACTGGTTACATGTAAAATTGATATTGCACGAGGGAGCTAATTAATTGTGGCGAATTTTTTGGTAACATTATTGTTTTAAGGGATACGAATGTTAGGTCAGGTTTTTTGAATGGAATTATACAGGGTGTCCGCGTGAAAAGTATGGGACCATGTCTGATAATTAAATAAACAGATATATGTTATTCTGCAGGGTTTTGACGAAACTATTCCGCTAGAAAGACTTTTATTGCGAAGGGAAATAATGAGTTCCTCTTTCCAGGCTGTTTCTACCAGGCACAATTAGGAGAACGGTGGTAATAGTTCTTGGGAAACAGTGTCTGTGTGATCGTAAACGAGGGGTACCAATTCGTTACTTTAACCCGGTCTGTTTTACCAGAAGATAATTGTTCAATATCCATACGCCGATAATTTTCATTTCCAATTACATAAATCAGGCTCGCAAATAATTCTTGGGTGATTGGAACACGGATGACGATGCAGGTCGCAGAAAACCGCCCCGTCCTCTTTCGTTTGAGTTACCATTAACCGTTGCTCGACTTCTTCCGCAAGTGCCATAACATTTTCGACTCGACACACGGTGCAAACTATAACCTTGTAAAATCGATGATTTCTATTCGTTAAGACTATCGTTTCAGCGATCGAATTCGACAGATTCGCGGCGAGATATCCGAAGAAGCGAAGTATACGGTTTTTCTTTTCTTTTTTTTTTCTTCGACGAACGGGGCGGGTTTAAAGGATCCGTAAGCTACCTGGGGCAGTTGCTGAGTATTCTCGGCCTCCTGGCAGACGAACGTCACGAAATCGGAGAGGGTGTCGTGACCGTTCTCGGGGTACTTGACCACCCCCGCGGAGGCAGGGTGCTCCGGTTGGTAGTAGGCGAGACCGGACATACTCTGACCGGAACCACCGGCGAGTCCCTCGTGCGGCGAGTGCAATCCTGAAACACAATTCACCGCTGTCATCCACCGACTATCTTTGCCCGGGGAGTCCCACGTGGAACCACCCCCCTCCCGAAAATATCGACCCCAGATCGGCTTCGTGAAAATCGAAATACAACTCCGTTTGCGCATCCCCCTTCGAATAATCGTTCTCCAAGAACACTTCTGTGATTTTCAAATAATTTTCAACGATATTCACGTTTCATTTCTGCACGGTGAGATCATTGGACTGTTTGTTTATTTCCGTGATGGATTTCGATGAACTTCATTCGTTTTTAATATACTCTAAAGACTGTGTGAGGATTTCAATTTTTTTTTTTATTGACAGATTAAACGGTTACTACTAGATTTCAGGATGATGGTAATCGTTAATTCCGAGAGAAATGTTAATGCAAAGCCAGGAAAGTTATCGAAGCTCTGAGTTTTAGTAGAAGAGGGAGCCAAACAGAGGTAACGATTGCCGCTGTAAGTCTGTTAGGGGGTGGTTTTAGTGGTGTATCAAGGGGGGAAAGAGGGCGACCAACTATAACGATCGTGTTAAGTATATATATATATATATATATAAGTATATATATACATATATACATATATATATAAGGCACTCCAAGCGTGAGACTGGCTGGCTGAAATGTACATGTATTTATACGCGCGCGCGCGAGTGCATCCGACGAGGCGGATTCTTCAATCGACGAATTAATTTTGAATTCGAATTTTAGAATACGATAAAGTACAAGCGTTAATGTTGCATTAATATTCTCGTCTCGAATTATCATTTTATAATCGTAAGAAACAATAATACATAGACCATTTTTTGTTCATATCGTTTGTTTACGGCGCGCTCGCGTACACGTATATATCACGCAACATATGAATATATACATGTATGTATATATATATACATATAGGTATGTATATATATATATATATGTATATATATATGTATATAATATACAGATAGATAGAGATATATATAGATATATATAGTGCAACAACAAACATCAAACAGCAAGATAACAACGATTAAACAACACATCAAAAAACATCAAGGTAACAACAACATCAACATCAATACAAAATGATATACATATATACTTGGTATATATATATATGTATGCATGTATGTATATATATATATGTATATGGTAAACAACAAACACCAACATCGCAACAACAATAGAATAGGTAGTATATCGTACGGAGAGTGATAGACAGATAGACAGACAGAGATAGAGATAGTGTGTGAGAGCAATAAACAAGTCTCAATCAAGGTTCGGAAAAATCAATCGAATATAAGTATATGTGTGTATATATACATACGTATATATAATATCAATCAAGTCAATTAAGTCAATAAGTAACGTTAATTTCCATCCAGCATACGACATACCCAGAGCATTGGCCGTGTGACAGTGAGTGAGAATAGAGAGATAATTATGGTGTGCACGGTTTACAAAACAGAGCACGGCCTCGATTATATCCCCACAGTTCCCCATCCCGAGATCTATAGATCGCATGCACGAGCCTCGAATGGGTACACTCGATATCGATTCAATGTCGACGATCCCAAAATTCACAAAAGTCTATAATATTCGTCCTTTTTCTTAACGATTCCGAAATTTCCCGATGATTCTATAAGATCAGTCTCAAGATAAAAATCCATTAAAACCCTGAATCTCTAAACGAAAAAAATTCTCTACAACCATCGACATCTCGAGTAAGAATTATCAAAAAAAAAAAAAAAAAAAAAAAAAAAAAAAAAAAAAAGAAAAAAGAAAATCTGAAATTTCGAACGATCGTTTGCTTTCACGAATTCTCCCATTGGAGCCACGCGAGGATCCATCGGGGGTGGGGGAGGAGGAGGAGAGTGGCTGGTGATGGAGTTCTCTCACGTTTTCGTAGCTCGAGGCCGCACCCTTTAAAAAACAGTAATATACGTGAAACAGGTGTAACAGGGGGTGTAACAGGGTGGGCAGACAGACAGACAGAGAGACAGACAAACGAACATACAGACGAACAGAGAGAACAGACAGACAGACGGACAGACAGCGACAGCTAGCTTACCAGGTAGAACCGGGTACTACGCAGTTAGCAAGAAATGCCGTTCCGTCTGTCTGTCTGTCTGTCTGTCCGTTTTTGCCACTACCCCCATCCCCCCGCCGTCCACCGAACCGGTTTTCCTTCCGTTCGGGGGCGATGGGTGGTGGTGATTCTCGATTGATCCCTCGACCGTGTTCAACGGATCGCCACGAATAATTACGCGGGGACCAGAGAGGTTTTGCAACGGCTAACCTTTCGATACTTTCCGCAGGATTTCGGCAGTGTGATTCCGTTGAATGTTTTCGTTTTCATCGAATTTTTTCTTCTTTTCTTTTGTGAACAGACAGGTCAGTCAGACGGACAGGCAAACGGGGGCGTCAGAGAAGTATATGTGTGTATGTATATATGTATACATTTGTAAATATACATATATACATATAAATAATAGAGATATACACGTATAGTACTATACATACACAGGTGAAAAACAGGAGTATCGTAGATTATACTTATTTCCATACACAGAGGCATACAAAAAAAAACACGTTTTTCGGTTTCTTTTTCTGTCTTTCTTTCGGTTAGATTAACGCTCTCGTTCGGTCAGTTTCGTCGAGGTTGGAGTTGCGTGCTTTCGGTTCGTCGCACACAGGCTTTCGTAGTCCTCGACGTGCGACTATAAAAAGTGGACAAAAAGAACAGTCCCCGTTGGTTGTTTCTCGTCCAATGTCAGGCCAGAGGTGGTTTCTGGTTTCGAGATTCGGTGGGATGTCTCGCGTGTCCAGTGGAATCGGCCGGTATTGGGCCAGACACCAGTGGTACAGGTCTGACAAAGGGCGTCTACTTTGTGTAATTATTTTCTAGTTTTCTTTCGGTCGTGTTCGACGCAGCGAAAGCAAAAAATCAAATATAATCATCGATCATTGGATTGCTGTAATAGAATTTTTATTCGGGCAAGTAGATCGGGCGTGTCACTGATCAGACCCAGCCGGTGGTCTGATCACGAACGTCTGGATCCACTTTGAATATGTTCTACGTTCAGATGCAGGATAGAGTGTAATTATTACCGTGTCAGCATGATTACTGTAGAAGCTCTGGGATCAGAGTTTCTCAGCTGTTGGAACCCATAAAACCGTGTAACAAGCCTTCCAACGAAAAGGATAAATAAATAATCACGATCCTACGTACACAACTCGCTTCTAAATCGATAGATAGTCGACTAATGTGTATCATGTGCCTGAAAGCGCAAGCTTCATCGATCCTTGGATAAAAATATATTAAACAAAAAGAAAACAATAATACATAAGGGGGTATATTGGTTGCTTTAAAGTACAAATTAGTCGAAAATATTCGAATTTGGGACGGTTATATAGCTCGTTCGCCATCGATTTCGATCAAAAGAACAACAACAATTGCAAATAAAAACGGAAGAGGAGGGAGTGAACGAAAGTAGAAAAATCTCGGTTCGCCTACCAACGACAGCATTGCGCGAACAATCGTGCACACAGCTGCAGGCGGCTATACAAACTGAGCGACAATTATTATAAGTACAGACCACCATACATACGTCTATCCAGTCGTTCGAGTAGCCCAGCGAACAAATATACGTATGCACATCTATTTATATAACAATTGTCACGTGATACGTACAATCATACATATACTGACACGTATATGTAGACACGCACACACACACGCACAGACTGTTGCCCAAAAAATTTGGGATCATTTATCCTTTCAGGCAGAGAACAAATCGAAACAGTTCCGTTTTCTATCTTTCCTATATTTTTAATTGTCCCATGTATACTGAGGGTACGTTTGAGACAAGACTCTTTAACCCTTTAACTCCCAGTGTTGCACCGGTGCAACGCTAATTTTAAAAGTCTGTCAAATTCTATCGTCGGTTGATATCTAACTTTTTGTCAGCAATGATCCTCTAGTTTCATTAATATAAAGTAAATCTCCATTTTTTAGTGAGAAATTCGAACATTCTCTTCAAAACTAAATAAAAGAAAAAGACGTGAAAAAAAATAGGTCTACTTCATATCGATTTTTTTTACTTCAAAATTACAAGATGTAACATATTCTGAGCGTTAAAGGGTTAATAACACTTTTATAAAAAAGATTGATTCCGCTACACGATCATCCACAATTATTAAAGACTTTTAGACATGGTGAAATCGGAAAGTGTATACAGGATACTTTCATATTTTTTCTCTGACAAACGATCTCATATTTTGGAGCGAACAGTGACCGTGGTTGCGGTGGTGGTTGTGGTGGTATGGAGATGCAACATCGAGCTAACACACAGAATTCCGATTAAGGGCTAAACATATAATAACATTCTTGCTTTCTCTCGGGTTGCCTGGTCGCCCAGCGGCCGGTTCACCGTCTCGTAATCAGACGTCGAACGGATATCTCGGTTATCCCCACGTGCGTGCGGACGAACCGCAACCGGCGGTCGAATCGGCGTCCACACACGTCCGTCTCTCTCGTGGGCTCGTCGTTCCGCCACGATAATCTCCCTTCCGCGTTTTTTCTCCCGGGATCCTCGTGGATCGCCGGTGAAAGACGATCGCAGCCGGAAAACTCTTTGGAGTCCCTCTCCCGGCGATCGTCAATCGATTTTAACGGATCGACCGTCGCTACGGTCACCTATTGTCATCCAAAATATACTCGGCATCGTAAATGGCAAACGAAACCAAGGCTTGAAAATTGTTATGATATCGATTTACGTTCTCGAAAGAGTTATCAAAAATCTTTATTTTGAATAACTGTTACGAAGAATTTAAATTTCATTTGTAAGTAGATTGCATTTTAATGGTTAGAGAATTGATATAGGAGTTGATATAAGAACATTAACTGAAACTGATATAGTCTGAATTTTAGGCTCTTCATAACAGGTATTCAGAATAAAGGTTCTTCCTAACTGTTTCGGTCGGAGACTTTATATAACAGTTTGAAA